GAAGGGGCCCGTATTGGTATGGGGTATCTTGGAGAACTCACTAATATTTTTGCTTATGAATTTAAATTTAAATGTTGTAGGTATTTTATCAAAACATGGAAGATCACAACGTGATTGCACCGCATCCACTTGAGTTTCCGCACTATCGTTTTAAGATACTATATTGTCTTTTTTTTGAAACTAATATAACACCTAGTTTTAGGATGTTTCTAATACCAAGGATAGCAGGCCGTAAATGGATCGAGTAAAGGTCCTAGGCTTCAAGGGAATAGAGTCTATACCAAGTGATTTAAGCCCTTGATTTGTACTTTGGCGCAAAGGGGTAAAATGGGAAAAGTAATATCCAGGTTTCTTGCACGAATTATGGTTTTAGCTCGACATATATTAAGTCAAAAGTAATTATATAGAGTATTGGGGCTCGCCAATACATTTTCATGCATATAAAGATCGCCTAAAACGAAGTTGAAACGAAGAAATTTTGATTGTTTGAAGTTGGAGTAGAATTGGGTGAAAACTTGTCCTCACGACATTACAAGCATGTTGTCACGATGTAAGAGTTGTCACGATGTGACAAACAGGCTCTCATGAGTTGAGTAATATGCAGTTGTAACACCCGTTTTCCAGGATAGATCGAATTAGGGTTTAAAGGAGTTAAAAGGATTGTTTTTGGAGAAAATTGAGTGTTAATACGTGACAAGGAAAGTATGAAGAAGTGCGTTGGAACCATTCTCATGACGTGAGAGATAAGTTTTCACGACGTGAGGTCAGCAGCAACCCAACCCCATGATCTTCTAGGGTTTCCTTCGTATTTAAATGTAACGCCCGCAAATCCGGGCTAGTCAATTTAGAGATAATAGGGGTCGAAAACGACTTTTCGACAAAAGATTATTTATAATAAATAATCTTAACCAAGTTTTAGAATATGTCTCAAGGGTTCCATACATATGAAGAACGCCGAAATCCGAGTTATAACGAAGAAGTTATGGCCCGTCGAAGTTTTACGGCAAAACTGGCACGACACCGGGAGATGTAAATAGTGAATTTTTGATAAAGGACTTTTTAGCCTTAGAAATCTAAACAAAAGTTTTAGTATACGTTAAACTGAGAACATACAAAAAAAGAACGCCCAAATATGACTTCGTATGAGGAAGTTACGAATTTTCTAAGATTTGGCATAGCAGTGCACGACCCGAAACTCGAATTTTAGATCGAGCGGTTTTTGGCCTACGCGACTTAAATGAGAATTGAATATCTCATTAATAGGAACTCAAGGGTAATAAGACAGACGAAAACAGAGTCCGTATGTAGAAGTTATGAATTTTACGCGGACATTTAACAGTATAATCTCCTCGTACTGTTAAATTTAAGATCGGTCGAGAATTAGCCGACAGAGTCAAAATGAAAGTTGTAGATCTTATTTTTACCTACGCGTGGATATAAAGAACGTCAAAAACGGAGGTCGTATGTGAAAGTTACGGATTTTAGAAGTCGGAAGTATGTTGTGCGGAAATGGGTGATGTGGCACAATCTTGGCCATTGCTTTCTCCCCAAGTCTTGCCACTAGATGGTGACATGTGGCACCAAGTTTAGCCATTTTTCACCCTATAAATAGAACCTCTCCCACCCTCATTTTCTTCACACATTTCCCATTCCTTCTTTCTCTCACTAGTTTCTCTCTCTAACCCCCCAAACCCCCCGAAAAGCCTAGGGAACCTCCCTAGCACGAGGCGGAAGCCCCGGAGTGCTCGACGGCTCCGAGAAGAAGAGCTTTTCGGCTCGGGAACGCTGCTCCAAGCAAAGCCCGGTTTTCTATAAAACCCGTTGTAAGTGAGCTACGCCTACGCTATTTTTAATATATCGTTTATTTAATTATAGTAGCGTTATTAGGAACTTATAATAAGTACTTGGGCTATTATTATGGGTTATATAAGTATTTTTTTAACGCTTATATAATAGTAATAATAGCTAGACTATTAATTAGTCTCGACGAATAATAGACTAAACTCTAATGGTAATAATACTAGGTTTCGTCGAAGGAAATTATTTTTTTTAAGAAGCGAAGCGCTGTTTGAGTTCGGAATCACCACCTTTTCAAGTGAGTGCATGGTCCCTTTCATCTTACACATAGATATGAAGTATTTTATATAAATTATGTGCTATGTGTGCATATTATCTGAATACTTGTTGTCTATGATGGATGAATGATTTTATACATGTTTTAAATGATTTAAATATATATTTATTTTATATCTACAAATATGTTGGGATAAAACATGGGTAGATGAAATAGTTGGTGTGTGATGAAATAAAATGATGAGAGATAGGTGATGATAATTAGGTGATGGATAGGTGATGATGAATCGGTGATGTAGGATGAAAGATACTATAACCTTGTCCGACAATTTGGAGATGTAGTCATCTACTAGAGTATAGATGGCGACCACAGACTATTCTAGACAACCCGTGGAAACACCAGCAGACTTATAACCTGTAGGTGATGAATTACGAGTTCAGGCGATGTTATGACTGCGTATTCATGTGATGATACTCTAACCCTTACTATGAATTACGAGTTCAGGCGATGTTGTAACTACGTATTCATGCCTTAGGAACGAACATATAAGGAAATGTGATGTAAAGAGATGAGAGGTAAATACGACATAGGAGATGACCCTTAAGATAATTCTTTAGGGAATATTAAATGAAGAAATTGGGGATGGGTAATTGGGTTGATTGTTTGATTGTTTAAACATAATAATTATATTATTGTGGGTTGAAAACCCTATGTACTCACCAGGTTTCCCAACCTGACCCACTCAAGCTTATTTGTATCACAGGTGTCGATATGAAGCTACTTTACACTGAGAGATTTAAAAGAGATGTAGATCACTAGTGTAAATGAATGTAAGTTCTGTTTATGCTTATGTTTCTGTATTGACGATGACATCCCAATGTTTTGAAAATGAATGAAATACATTTCTTCGGAAATGATTTGATAACGTATTTATCATGTTTTTCCGGGAACAAATTCCGCAACATTTTTATTAAAAGAGGTACTCTGATTTTTATAAAGCATAAACAAAATCAGTCTTTTCAGGCCGTGAAAATGGGGATGTCACATTAAACCCCTTTAAACCAATTTTAGGGTTCATTATCAGCCTTCGCCCCCCCCCCCACCTCAAAACAAACCCTAACCCTAATCCCTTTGAAGATTCTTAGCCTTTTTGAAAAATTTATTAGCTTGAAAAAGAAAATAAAAGGCGTTTTATTGGTGAAGCTTGCAAGGAAACATCATCTCATATTCTTTTTGAACCCCTATAAGTATCAAAGCTTCCACCTTTATTGTTGTATATGGCTAAATATAAGTTTTGTCCCACTTTTCTCCTTGTTTAGCTAGTTTGAATGAAAGTAAACCATAAAGTTGGCAACTTTATGGGTTATAAGGATCCTTAGAATGTCATGAGGTTCAGATCAAGTCAATGGTTGGGTTTTGAATCTTTGCATGAGAGTTTGGTGACCTTTTCTACATTTTTTATCCAAATGAGATCTAGACATGTATTGGACATACATGTCCATAAAACATTGATTTTGAAGTGGATTTTGGAGTTATAAGACCCTCTGGAAAAGTTAGAGTGAAAGGCTTAATGGATTAAGGACTTAAATCTTTAGATTTGGCTTTATACTGTAGTCACGATGTGAGACATGCGGTCTCACGACGTGAGACTGAAAGACCCCGTCTTATGTTGAGCTTATTTGGGCTCACAACGTGACAAAAGGTTGTTCACGTTGTGAGATCAGCTCAAATGTTTTTCCATGACCGAGTTAGCTGAGTTGGGTCGAGACGAGTTGGAATCAGACCCAGTGGACTCTCACGACGTGACCAAGGGCTGGTCACGACGTGAGGCTTGATGTTTGACATTTTAGGATGTTAACTTTGACTTTGACCATTGACTTTTGGTTAAATTTCTCTTTTTAGAAGATAGACTTAGGGTTTACCTTGTGTGGATTCTTAGGAGGTGTCTAGCACCCATCTTTTGGCGGTGAGAGTTGTTAGTTGTGTTCGGTGCGACATTGATATAGGTTTTAGTTAGTTGTGTGATTCACGTGAGTCTCTTCATTGTACTTGTGGGTCGAAGGCACCAATGCCGACCTACCAGATTATGTCTGTAGGATGATAGTGGTCTTTGTGACACTTGCTAATATGGCGGCAACACTAGAAAAATACCCTTTAATGACACGCATTGCGTGTCATAAAAGGGTACAGATGACACGCAAATGCGTGTCAAGGAAGGCCCTGTCATAAAGGAAGACGACACGTATTTGTGTGTCGTAAGGTTACGACGCGCTCTTACGACATGCAATGTGTGTCAAGGAAGGCCCTGTCATAAAGAAGACGACATGCATTTGCGTGTCATAACCTTACGACGCACATTTACGACTCGCATTGCGTATCATTAAAGCCCATGTCATAAAGAAAGACGACACACATTTTTGCGTGCCATAACTTCAAATGTTTAAAAATTATATATTTTGATAGGTTTAATAATTTTCAAATTAAATAACACATTAGAAGTCTCATAATACAAAATAAGATACAATAAATAAGAAAGATAATTCATTTCATTAATATGTCAAATACAAATAATCATTCCAATAGCAAGGAAATTTAATACATTGTTAATATTACATAATATTTATTATAGAAAAACAAAACATATATAACCGGTTGGATCCCTTTAAATGCTTGATTTGCCATCAATTCCTCCTAATTATCCGCCTTACTACCCTTGCAGTTCAATCAAGACACCTAACCAATCAAAAACTTCAACAATTAATTTCTTTCCTTGTTAAAGTTAGTTCTTTTACAACTATATGTTTAGAGATACAAAGCAAAAAAATGTTAAAGGAGAATAAGGAAATACTGAATGGTAGAACCTCATTAATGTTGTGCACATCAGTATGTATAAACTTTTCACCATAGAATGAAACAATTTAGAAAATTACCATTTAGGATTCTGACGCTACACATAAAAGAATTTCAAATAAAAGACTATCATTTCGACTTCAAAAATATTTGATTCACAACTTGTTTATTGTCGTATACAATATAAGAAAAAATATTTAACTTTGCAACAATAACCAACCATGAAAGCTTGAATTTTTTCTAAATCTGGAGAACTAAACACATAACTCCTAGTAGTAAACATTAACCAAAAATAAGAATTACCTGTTGTAGTGGACGACCAAAGTCATCTTTAAACTCTTTGAAGTGTTTTTTGAGATATTCATGCAGTTTAGGAGTATCATCCCTCCTAAATATGTCCCATACAACACCTTCCTCTCCCAGATCAGATACATCTACATAAATACCTAAAATATCATTATTTCCAACAATGTGAAATTTAGGAATGTTGAGCATGTTAGAAGTTTGAACTTTAATTTCAAAAAGTATTAGAATTGCTCCACATGAACATATTTGCAAAAAACTTATATTGTGTCATTTGTACCCCACACCTAAGGCACACTTACAGAGTCATTTCTTTCTTCAACATTAAAACCAAACAAGTTTCTTTCAACATTAAAGTAAAAATGAATGTTACCTAGTGTCTCTTTTTGTTTCTTCAAGCCAACTTTCTCGGAAATAGAATCTTTGGTGTTATCCATATCAAGTTCCTTCTGATCCTGAGCCTTCTGCTTCTTTTTCGATTCATATATCCTTTTACGGTTGGAGGTCACAGTTGGAAAATCAACCAATACATTCACCTGCATGTCACCATAATATATATCAACAAAAGTCTTCTTAATGATGCCAAGACTCAGTTCCAATGATACTAGATGAAATCCAACACGAATGATCTTAATGTCTGCCTAAGATTTCAAGCAGAAGAATTTTGCATATTCAAAATGAAAACAGCATACCACATCAGACTTCTCGCAATGAAGTTTAGTTACAGAGTCTCCACGTTCCAATTCTTGAGCATTAATAGCATAATCTATATAGATTTTAGGAGCCATATTTGGCTTCAACGATTCTTTAGGCAACTTCACTCCAAGATTAAGGTACCTCATGAGGATGTGTATATTCTTTAAAGGGCAAGGAACTGATAAACTCAACACCAAGAACTCGTAAGCGATCTTCATGTAAATTTACCATAGGCCAGGCTTCTTGAATTATTCAAACCAGACAACCGAATTCTAACAACTTTGCTAGCTGTTCTGTTTTCAATCCTGTCAAACACAATTTTTTCAAAAGTAAGGCAGAAGCATGAAAATAAATACAAGTGGGCTTCTTGAATTATTCTTCATGTTGATAAATATACAAAGTTATATGATGTGTGTATACCTAATGGGGCCATATCTTGGTCCACGACAGATTACAACAATGAAACGTGATCCCTCTTCATAACCTCGAATTTCAGTCCTTAAAATTTCATGAGTGCCATCTTCCTTCTTCGAAACAAGAAATATGGTGTCTTCCTTCTCAATTTGAACAGGAAATGACCATTTTGTGACTTCATCACGGATCTACCAGATAAACAATATGTAAGGAATGTATCACTATAATAAATAGATAAAAACTGCATAATGAAAGAAATACACACACACACACAAAGGACCCCTACTCACCTGTAGCTTGCTAGGTTGGTCAGTCTCACGGTAAACAGAGGAGACTCGTACATCAGATGCTCGCAACAATTTCGGTTCATCTTTGCTACTTAGCTTTTAACACCATTAAATCCACAGCACGCCCCACTGCTATCCCTTGCATTTAAAGCTTTAATTTTCGTATATTGTCACTATTATTATTAGATACATATATATTATATTCATCAATTTGATTACATAAATCATAAATGTCACAAATTTTATAGAAAAAAATTGACGTGTAAGTGTGTACCTTGGTACGACTACGTGTAGTACAAGTGGTTTGTTTTCTTTGAACTTCTTTTGGGGACACATGCAACTTTTCTTGTTCTTTGTCTGATATTACAGTTGATAATGTCCTTGCCACCTGTCCTCCTTCAATGGAGGACTGTGGTGCTTGTGGTTTCTCAATATTAGGGATCTTTAAGTCGAAACCAAATATTCTACAACTTGAAACTTTTTCTGGTTTCTTTTTTTCAAGTGAATGTGAATCGTTTGTTTGTTTGATGGATTCGCGAGGTGAGTAAGTTGACCAAGCTGACAGACCTTAACCTTGACCTTTTCTATCTTTAGATTCATCTCCATACATGTTTCTACAAGCTTTTACTAGAGAAGATCATGATAGCCAACCAACCTCCATTTGAGTCCTTAAAAGACATCTGTTTTTATCAACTCTTTGCCCTTTAGGGGTACAGCTTAACTGGGATGAATCATGTGAAGGGTTCCAAACAATTGATACTGTTGAACATGTAGGCTCTACAACACAACATAATAAACTACAAGTTAATATATTATATGGAAAAAGTGTTTTTATAAGCTAAAAAAAAGTTTCCTCACCAAGATTAGGGATCTCCATTGGAGGTCTAGGCCTCTTGGTTTTTGGTGCAACTGGTTGAGGTATACTTGTGGGAACAGGAGCAACAAAAGTTTCTATCTCCCATGGAGAAACTCTTTCAGGTCTCGTGAGAGATGCAGGTTCATCCCATTGAACCTGAAATAGTCAACAAAAATGTTTGACCATGTTTATTTTTTTGAACCTTGACTTCTTTTCCTAAGTGAGAGAAATTATTAACCTTTAAAGAGCGACACTTAGAACAGTTACATTGAATAGATATGTCTTCAACTCCAACTATTGTGCCTGTAAACCTGATCAAATGAAGGAAAATTTTAATTTTTGTGCATACAAATGTAAAAAAGATTAAATACCGAGATTGAAAATAATTTATAAATTTATGGGTTACCTTCTTTCCGGAGAATCCTCGCCCTCAAACCTCATATTGAATCTCATGCCAACAGTAAACCCATTGTTTACAGCTTGTATATACTTGTTTAACCCTATGATGAACGGACTTGTCCTGAATAATTTTCACTATATTATAAAAAATAACTTCTTTGTAGCTACAATCGCAATCAAGATTCACTTTCTTTTAAGTTTTAACAATTAACATACCTTGGCTTGTAGTAAACTTCAAACCGGGTTTGAATTGATACAACATGTGATGCGGTTGCAACCACTCCAATATGCATGCGAAATTACTAAAGAGTGCATGGAGCTTTGTTGGCGAGCTTGGCGTCTAACTCCAACACGTAGGTACAGTGGCCACGGCCCCACCAAGAGTCCATTGAACCTTATCGTGAGTCTCCAATTTTACATGAAACTACTTGTGCTCCAGGGGCAATTCCATTCAGCAATGGCTCTTGTAATGTAAATTCACACATGTCAAAAATTGAAAAAGAAAAAAAGTTGTTGTAACAGAAAATACCTGTGGGTGGAAAGCGGTTGCAATGCCAAAGACAAGTTATCACATGTTACAGAAGAAGACTGTGATTACTTATTTTACAGACAAGTACAGATATTTTAAATTGGCAAGAAAATTCAAACAAAGAAGAAGAGTGGGATGAATCAGTTACAGAAGATTACGACGACGACAATGAATGGCATCATTTAACTCGTACAAACTCGGACGAGGATGTAGATGTCAATTCACCAGTAAGAAGCGATTCACAAGAGTGGATTGAAACCCTTGGAAGTAGGAGCAACGCATTCTATTAGTCTGATGATGATAATAATAACGTCAACAGATTTGAACTCGCACAACTTACAAACAGGTAGATAAATCAAGTGATTTTGGACGAGGGTGTAGATGTCATTCGCGATTGCAGAAGAACAGTCTCTAATCTTCTTCAAAGTGATTTTGGTGCGAGACTGAATCAGCTGTTGATGCAATCATATGTGAATCGACAAAATCAAGTATTTGAATCACAAAATGAAGTTGTTGATTCGTCATTAGTTGTCATCCCCAAAAAGAGGAGGAAAGTGAGATAATCAATGGGTTCGAGCCGCCGTTAGAGGTGGTGGAGTTTATGTTGATCCGCTGTCGCAATAGAGATGTAGGAAGGTAGGAGGCGAGATCTAGGGTTCGAGCATGAGAAAGAATTATTATAGTGTCACCGGTGATCGGATTTCATCGGCAGGTGGAGATGTAGAAGAGAGAACGTGCAGTAGAGGAAGGCGGGGCAAGGTCTTGACAAAAAGCCCTAGCTCTGTTCAGGATTTAATTAATTATAGGCTAGGAACACGCATTTGAAAAATTATAAAGCGACATGCTTCCACGATACGTGTTTTATGAATAGAGCCCTCCATTTTATTTTATTTTTGTTTTGACACTAACTTTAGGGCATTTACAAATGCGTGTCTTCTATCCTTCAACTTTTGGAAAGCTGACAATAATTTTACGACACATATAAAATACGTATCGTAAATCAGTGTGTGTCGTTGTTTGCATGTCATTAAAGGGTTGTTTTCTAGTAGTGCCGGTATGCTTAGATGTATGGGTGAAATAGACTCGTACCGGTTGAAAGATACCAAAGGAGTTGAAATGAACTCGGGGGTGAAATAGACACGTACCAGTTGAAAGATATCGAAGGATTTGAAATAGAATCAGGGGTGAAATAGACCAGTACCGATTGAAAGATACCGAAGGAGTTGAAATAGACTTTGGGGTGAAATAGACCTGTATTGGTTGAAAGATACTAAAGAAGTTGAAATAGACTCGGGGGTAAAATAGATTTGGTTTAGATTCGAGTTAATATGTATGTATGGTATGGCATATTTTGGGGAACTCACTAAGCTTTGTGCTTACGGTTTTTACATTTATGGTTTCAGGTACTTCCAGTTCCAAAAGGAAGGGCCCGGCGTGACTGCACAACATCCCCTATAGTTTTCCACATCGATTATTTAAGATTTTACTCTGATGTTTATTTGATGTAATCATTTTGAATGATTATGGAACAACTCATTTGTATGGTTTGCTGTTTTAAAAATGAAAATTTTACTATGAATTTTTGGGACGTTACAAGTTGGTATCAGAGCCTTGGTTTGAGGGATTCGGGCACACTCTCAGGTGTGCCTGAACTCAAACTGAGGAATTGGTAATCTTTTTGAAAGAAAATGAATTTTATAAAAAGATTTTGATAAAGAAAAGGGGTGTGATGCGTGCAATCAGCCGAGATCAAGTAACTGATTCCCAGAATGCCCATACATAATGTTATGTTATATGTTATGAGATATGCATGCTATATTAGGGCTAAGGATCTGCTCATGACTGCATGATAGAATGATAGGAGAGATGTCTTTGTATGCCTGTTGGTTGAGCTTTTAGAATTGCATGCTAGTATGGATGTCTGTTGGTTGGATAGAATGGCCTGATTAGGTGATGCATTGGTTTAGATTTCTTAATGCCCGAATGATGTTTGCTTTATGCTTTGTGGGACTCATATTGATGTGAGTTAATTATTTTATGAATATGTTAAGTTACATGCTGCAGAGGTTAAATAATCTCAGAGTGATTGATTTGGCCCTATTGCACAACTCTTGTCTGAGTCTAACCGTTGTAGGGTTGAGTCTTTATCGAAGGATTATCTAAGCTTTGCTGCATGCAATTGTATTCATGAAGTAGTTAGCTGAAATTAGTAGGGGATCTTCAGTAGCTGATGGTAGGGTGGGGTGAGGAACCTAGGAGAGCCTAAGAAGTGTTTAGTGGGTTTGGATGCGCTATTTAGCGGGTACTTGGAGTACCAATTTGAGAAGGTGACTTGGAGGATTCAGGATTATTCTTGAGGAAAGTATGGATAGGTGTGGAAGGTAGTATTGTGTGACAACCCGATATTTCGAATCAATGTAATGACCTAAAAAGTCAAGAATTGTAATCTCTTTTGATATAATGAAATTATCGTCAAAAATAAAATGTTCAAAAGTCTCTACTGGATTTCATAAATGATAGATATCGTGTCAAGGGTTTCAGAAATATAAAGAACACTAAAATCCGAGTTATAACGAAGAAGTTATGACCAACCTAAGATTCACAGCAAAACCGTCAATACTGTTAAACGTAAAACGCGAAGTTTCAATACAATAATTTTTAGCCTTAGGTATCTAAATGAAAGTTATAGATTTCATTAAACCGTAAACGTACGTGAAAAGAACGTCCAAATCTGACTTCGTATGGGGAAGTTATGATTTTTCCAAGTTCCGGATATAGCAGTAGACAGCTAAAAACTCGAAATAGAGATCGAGAGACTTTTGGCCGAAACAACCTAAATGAGAATCTAAGATCTCAACAATAGTAATGCAACGGTAAAAAGTCTGACAAAAACGGACGTCGGATGAAGAAGTTATGGATTTATGACGGAGTTTTCGAGTCCCGGCCTGTTAAAAATAATTAATTAAAAATAAATTCAAAATTTGCCGACAAAATCTAAACGAGAGTTGTAGAGCATATTCTCACCTACGCGTGCATATATATAACGTCGAAAATGGAGCTCGTACGCAGAAGTTACGGATTTTACAAGTTCGAGACACAAAATCTGAGGCTGTCAGGTTGGCCACGACGTGGCACAGATGGTCACGACGTGGGACCATGACTGATGGGTTTTCAGGCTTGGCAGCAGACGTCTCGTCCATTGAAGAGGATAGGATTGACTCCACGATGTGGGCAACCCTTTTGCCACGACGTGGGACCCAAAAATTAGGCTATAAATAGAGCTCAAAGGGTTCCAGGTTTCATTGCTCAATTCTCTTCTTTCTCGTACCGAAGCTCTGCGTTTAAACCCTCGAAGCCATCCCAAAGCCCCGGTCTTCACATCCAAGTTTCCGAAGGAAGGTTTTACACTCCCGAGATTCCCGAGAATCCCGAGAAATCAACTTTATCAAGTCGAAGTTCTGCTCAGTTTTGTCTCACCTTCTTCAATCTATCAAGTGAGTTCATACCCCTACAACTAAGTTTTCAAATGCTTTGCAGATGCTTTTATACATTTTTAAGGGGGGAAATACAAGTAAACACACGATTATTCTCGTGTGAAAAACATCAATCTTTTGCTATGCTTTTTATTATGAAATCAATCATATGTGATTTATAACTATCGTACGAAAACGTTCTCATACAACATATCACGATAACACTTGTCTTTTTGGAATGAAACATGTTGTTATGTAAATATCAAACACTTTATTTATATTTTGAGTATAAATGTTCGATAATGTTATTACAAATGTTATACTTTACATACAAAGTCGACACTACACTAGGGTTTATCATACAAACGAATCACACTTTTGGAAAAACTATAATAGGTATAGTTTACTAGATATTCATGAGATTTTACATACTATAAATACTATATCAAGGAAATACTTTCATATACAAGAACAAATGGACTTTTCATACGTAAATCTATTTGATACTAAGTTTTGTGAGACATTCAACTTCACGTACTTTCAAGTATGCAGTTAAAGTCCTGTATTATATACCATAATCTCTTGTAGGGAGAGCGTGATTCTTGTGTATAGATCTATACGGGATTGACAATCCCGCACCTAAACTGTTAGCTACAGTTAGACCGGCAGGTCTGGGGTGACAAACGTCATAACATTCCAACGCCTGAAGAACGTTGTTACAGGCAGTCTGGGTCAATAGCATGGTTATAAAACTCACATGGAGTATTAAAAACACGTTGATTTACGGGGTTATCAAATGCCTTAGTGATTTTATACGTATATAATGTTGGATTAGGTGTCTAAGCCCATAACTATTATTGGTATGTATTCGACCCGAGAGTAGCATGGTCCATTTGGGTTGCGTATCATCAGGACAATTTGTTAGGATGGACTTTTGAGATAAGGTTATTTATGGTTTATTAATATATTATAAGTTATAATATATTAATATGAAATCATATGTTTTAATTAGTCTTGATCAAGAACTAATTTGGAATTAATTTAGTGATCAAAAGAGACTAATTAGAACTATGGGGACTAATTATGGTAATTAGTTATATTTATATGTGTTGGGCTTATGATCCATGTTGGACCAAGTTTATGTATGGATACATAAAGAGTTGGGCCACATGAACCATGGATCATAAAATCCATGGATATGGGTTTGGGTTATACCCATGATTCTTAGAATTCAACACATATAAATACATATGTTATGACCTAAAACCGCCACCCCTAGTCACACCCTAGT